AGTATGCTACATTCAAATCTACGAAGTTTTATCTTATTTTTCAGGTACAGTTCAAATTCTTCTGGAATGTTGTATTGATTGTAACCAAATATTTTTCATACAAATGAGCATAATTTTAAGAGAATTAAACTATAAACATTCTTGATGGTTCGTGGCCTATTTCTATTCTCTTTGGCAGAAGGCTTCTCCACAAGTAGTATATATAAATCAAATATAACATAACTATATTGTATATAGCTATTTATAAATCATTATTTGGGGACCAATACGCAATTATCAAGTTACTAGAGTTGCTTAGAGAAAATAAGGAAAATTAGGAGTATCTCATATTAATAAATTATATTTTCTGAATTAAGTGGAAGCTGTACGAATGTGCTTCACTTTTATACCACTTTGAGATTACTAATCTGTGGGACAACTGAAACGGGGCGCTGCTAATTTGACAGTCTCCACTCCCCTTCCAGCAAGCTGCAGAAGGAAGTCATTATCATTTTTCTTCAGGCTCTCCCGAGACTGGTCCAAAGAACACGGCATAAAGTAAGGAGCTCTGAGAAGAATACTCAGATTTTGTAATTACGGCGCAAATGTCGGTTTTAAAAAAAAAAAATCAGACCTGAAAGTGAAAACCAAGCCATCCTGCGAGACCTGAACTATGAATTAACGCGAATCTAGAGTCCTCGTTAAATGACAACGTAGGAAAGTAAAGACCAGCTGCCTGCCCTTGCTGGGATGGCCTCCTGGAGCTCAGTAATGCAGAACCAGCCCACTCAAGCCGCTCTGTACCACAGGAAAAGCTGGAAAACTAAAGTCATTTCTTCCTTACAGCTCAAAGTGGAGCAGCTCAAGAAACTCAACTCCGAGCTGCACGAACAACCAGAGAAGGCGGCCAACAGACAGGTCGCTGCTTTGGTCGGGCCCAAGCTGCAGAGAAGGAAATACCGAGTACCTGTTTGCCTCTCCCGAATGCTGGCCGTGGACGCCATCTTGCTTCCCAACATCCACTGCCCGGCTGGCACTGGGAGCCCGAAGATGACGTGGCGCACCATCCCGCCCCGGAAGCAGAATCAGGGGGCGGGACCGGAGAACCGACCCGCCTCCTGCGTCCCAGGCCACGCCCCTCCTCCCAGCCATTGGTGTTTTCCGATTTCCCAGCAGCGTTTCCGACCAATCGGGCCGAGGCTCCTGACATTCGCCTCTGGGCGGGAGCGTGGGCAGCGGGGCCCCAGAGTGACTGCTGCCGCGCTTTCGTTTAAAACCTCGTAAAACTTAGGACTCACCGAAACGCTGGACACCGTTTTCTTGATACGCATTACAGCAGAAGTGTCCGTTCCCTATTTCTATGAAAACATAAAACTTCCCTACAAACGCTGCAAAATTCTCAGTCCCATTTCCACAGCATAACGAACGACCCAGCTTTATGGTTTTGGTCGGCTAGGCTATAAAATCAACTTGGAGCCAAATTACAGAATTTCTTGCTTTTAGTGCAAATTAAAAACCACCACCAGGACCTCGTTAAAGGCTGGGGTCACAATAAAAATAAAAGCCACCAGCACCATGATTCTGGTGGTACATTTTAAACTTCGTGAGTATGAAATAAATCCCATATCGGCCATCTATATATAATAAATTTTATTGTCAAAAATATATACAATGACAACTTATTACCAATTCGATGAGTTCACTGATGACATTTCATTAAGGGTTAATTCTGAACAATCAGATTGAGATAAAAATCAAACCTTCAATAATTTGGCCTTCAAGATTACATAAGTAAATTTTTTCCTATTTTTTTAAAGTCAAGATTACATTTTACAACAAAAACATGCACTCCACTCGAAAGCTAGAAAGATTTAATTTTGTAAGATGAAAACAGGCTATTTTATATTTTAATCTACCAGGAAATACCTTAACCTAGAATCAGGATTCTGCAAGAATTACATTATCTTTTACGTTATGGCTGACATAAAGTATTAAGTATTAAGAAATCAAATAGAATGTTTACTGGGGTTTTCTTCAGTGCCATCACTAATATTTATTTTAGATTTATTTTATTTATTTATTGTGAATACAATACTCTGCCTGCACGTGTACCTGCACCCCTGAAGAGGGCCCCAGATCTCATTGTAGATGGTTGTGAGTCACCATGTGGTTGCTGGAAATTGAACTCAGGACCTCTGGAAGAAGAGTCAATCCTCTTAACCACTGAGCCATCTCTCCAACCCCCCATCACTAATATTTTAAAGGGATCTCCAACAACCTAGCTTGTAATGTAAAATTAACAGTTTCTGCCTTGAGGGAAGTATTCTGGATTCTAGTATCCATGAACTATGAAGCATAATGGCTTATCCACCTTCCAGTGAGTTAAATTTTAGTCACATGAGCAGTCCCACTTTTAAATACAAATTTACAATTTAATCATTTAACTTTCACCACAAACTCCTTCCAAGACTATAAGGCACATTAACATAAAACAAAGACAATGCTAACATTCATAGTGCTTCTGTAGTGTAGTGGGGGAATGAACTGATAGCAAATTACACCCCACAGAAGAGAAGCTATATAAAAAAATCCTTGCAAAGCTAATACGAATATTTTATCTTGGTTTTAAACTTATCTCATGTGACTACAGAGTAAAAACCATTTTTTTTTTTACTAACTGTATATATCTGACTCCAATTTTTTTGGCTTAAATAAACATTAGGTGATAGTTTTATCATAGAATAGCCCATACCAATTTGTTTCTTAGGAGTTCAAAGATCTCTCAAGCTTGGAAAATAAAAGATCTTGGATTTTACCCACTTAATAAGATTAACCTTGTAAGTGGACTATTAGGTTAAGAGACTAGTGAGAGAAGGGGATGGGGTTAAGTATGAAGCAGTAAGGGAAAAAAAGTGACTCAAGTTTATTACATACATGTATAGATATGTCCTGATAAACATTGCTTTGTACAATTATTATATGCTAATAAAAAAGAAAAATGAACTGGGCAGTGGTGGCACACGCCTTTAATCCTCTGGGGAGGCAGAGGCAAGTGGATCTCTGTGATTTCAAGGATAGTGAGTTCCAGGACAGGTTCCAAAGATATACAGAGAAACCCTGACTTGGAAAACCAGAAAAAAGGAAAAATGAGAAATGAATTATGAAAGAGTTGAGTAATTATTTGATTCTTGACACAGCTGGAGACATCCAAGGAAAGGACTCCCAATTGAGAACATGCTCCACGAGACCAGGCAGTGGGCAGGCCTGCAGGATATCTTAATGAGTGATTGGTTGGTGAGGGCCAAGCCCTATTGCGGGAGCTCCTGCAACAGAGCCCTTTGTGCTTGCTGCCACCCCTGGGCTGGAGGTCTTAGGTTCTGTGAGAAAGCAAATGGCAAATCATGGAGAGCAAGCTGGGGAGCAGCACCTACCCATGGCCTCTGAATCCGCTCCTGCCTCCAGGTTCCTGCCTTGACTTCCATCCCTGAGAAACATGTTAGTGTAAGCAAAATAAGCCCCATCCTCGCCAGCTGCTTTTGATCATGGTGTTTCATTACCGCAATAGTAACCCCGAGGTAGATCCCAGGAAGTCTTCATCTATGAGCACTTCACATTTGGTGGCACAAATAGATTTAGAAACTTTATTGTTGTAAACTTTTTTCTTAAAATCTTGGTGACACTATGGATGAAACCCAAGGTCTTAACACAGGCTGCCAGGAAAACCACTCTGCCGCTGGGCTGCATCCTCAGCACTATGTGATTTGGTTATATTTTAAATAGACAGATGTATAAACTATCTCAGTACACTATCTGGTGTGCAGTAGGTATATTTGGATATTTGAAAATGGTCAAAAACAGAACTAAAAATTGGGTCTCTTTCAGAGACTATACAATTTCTAGGTTATAGATAATATACATTCAAGTAACTCAAGATGAAGTGTTTCATGCTTTACTGCATTATCTGAAGCACAACATTAATTTGTAACAGTGACATAATGGTAATGTTTATCAACAGACTCTAGGTATTACTATTTTAATGTGACCGAATGCTAAAGCAAAGTCACTGGGAAAGCCTACCATTATATGTTCCTTTATATAGCATTTCAACATTAAATGTACAGGTTCCTAAAGCTTCCAATATAATTAAATAGGGGGAAATATAGATAACAGAGACCATGACAGTGCACTCTTTTTACTTAACTAAAACAGAAAACTGTTGCTTCGTAATGTTGAAACTATGTATTTAAAAATTCAATGTAAGAACTATGCTATAAAACACGCTATAAGCACCACGCAGTAACACTGATATTTCCCTGATAAGCCTCGAGTGTAAAGATTAACCTACACACCACACTAACTAGAATACCTTTGAAAATCTGGTCGTTTCGCTTTAAGAAATAAACATCCTGTTGTTGATGACACCATCTCCCAACTTAGACCACACTGACAGAAGCGAACCACTACTTTTACCTGTAGGCAGCCCAAACTCTCTCAGTACAGTATACCTCCATACCCCAACACAGCACTGTAGGAGGGCTTCTAGCCTCGTTACTATCCTAGGAAAAATACTAACTCCAACTACAAGTCAGAAAATAGCATTTAAGTTACATGGATTTAACAGTCTTAAAAACGTCATGAGAACTAAGTAGGTTAAGATGTAAAGATCCCATTTATCAATCAACACACCTGGAATGAAAGCTGCCTGCTGAGATGAGGTTTGAACTATCTGATGATGGATCACTAAATTACTTTTGAAAATCTAGCAAAAAGTAACACAAAATAAAGAAATGCCTTAAGACTAAATGCTCATTGAAAAAAAAGAAAGGAACTTTATTAGTTCTGTTAAGTACAACTTGAAGGGTACTGAAGCAACAAACAAAAATGACACTGTGATTACATTTGGGTTTTTTCCTTTGGCATTAAGATCCTGTTATTTAAGGGTGTTTCCCAGGGTTAACAGTATATGACCAAGAGCAGACATCTGCTATGTGTATCAAGAAAAATTTGATTTTTTTTTTCTTAACCTCCCATGATTTTTCGGACTGAAACTTGGGGCTTTGTCTTCCCTATCCTCGCTAATGGATTCAGGCACTAGATTTGCAAAGCCACAGATATAAAGGTGGTACTATGAGGGGCTCCTCTGCTTAGTTGTTTGTCAAGGCAGGGTCTCCTGTAGCCAAGAATGGTCTTGACCTTGCTCTCACTCCTGCTCCTCCTGCCTCAGCCCCCCCCCCCCCCGAGCATGGATTACAAGTATGTGCCATGATACCTTGCTAGAGACTATCTACACCTTGAACTGATTAAGAACATGATTTCCTGTTGCTCGTGGCAGATTCATACAATCAAAAGATAACCACGGCTGGGGACATTGGTGTACATCATGACCCCAACACCCAAGTGACTAAGGCATGAGGATTGCAAATTTATAACAGGTGGGGCTCTATAGACAGACCCTACCACAAAGCAATAAAAGATTGAAAAATAAATAGTTTATAAAGAATATACAAAATACATTACTTATATCTATGTGGCAAAATTAGAGTGTTTTTTTTTAACTATTTGTAGTTTTAAATTATAATTTATTCATTGCTTATACAATGTATCTTTTGAAAGCAAAGGTTAACTACAGAATGCTGTGGTGATATCTTACCAGTCATAGGACAGTCTTGATAATAAATAGCTGCAATCTAGCCAAACCTGACAGTCAAGAGACATACAGAATGAGATGTACATCCTAACGTACTCAGAAGTACAACTGAAGAGCCAGCAGCAGTGCTTGTAAGCCTACGGAGCACCAATAGACTCCAGAGTTATTTGTCTAGCTCTGCTTCTTATATAGGACCTTCAATGAGTCCTTATTTGTTGTATTGTTCACAAAATACAAAAACATTTAAAACTTAAACCCTAGAAAAGCATATCTATAGCTCTGATTTATGAGATGACTTTCTAACTTTTCTACTTAATGCTTTAAAATATAGAAATATGACAGCCTTTCTACATAATTAATTCCAGGAAAATCAGACAACATAGAGAAAAACAACATAAGACAAACGAAACATACAAAAAAAGAAAAAAAAAAACTCTATGAAGGTGATTCCTAATTGAAAAAGCAAGGGAACAGGTTTTTCTTATGTCATGCTAATATAGCCGAGCACCTGTACAGCAGAATAGTTTGCACAACCATTCGAAAGAGATTCATATTGAAGTTATAAAGAAAGCATAGTCATAGGAAGCTATCACTGGATACTAGAATGTCTTGACCGAACCTTCAGTGGTTCAGAAGCCAAAACATCCCTTTATAAGAGAGTCATAAACTTTAGTGAGCCAGGAAGCTGGCCAGAATGTTCAAAAGCCATGATTAATAGCAATAACTTTATCAATAGCAGCTTTTAAAAAAGCATCTCTTCATTTATGTCCACGGTAGTGAGCGAGACCCTTCTTCCTTTTCTAGTCTTAGAGTGTCTCTTATGGCAAAATCCATACTTTCTTGAAACTCTTGAAATGTGTTGGTGATCGGCAGAGCTAAGCAGTGATCACATTTGTTTCCAACAGGAAAATCCACGTGGAGACATTCAATTGAAGGAAGGGGCTTAAACCCAGCAGGTGGAACGGAACTACAGCCGGTTGCAAAAATAAGAATGTCTTTCATTGTAGTTGTAGATTTGCCATCTGAAAAGTTAGCAATTAAAGAGAAAAGAAAATTAAACCTACAAAACATAGTATTGTCGGTTAGACACGTTCTCAATCAGACTGCGAGGACTGACTGATGAGTCCGGCATCCACCCCTTAAGGACAAGCACGCTAAGCAGGACAGTCAGCAAGTGAATCTTAGTGTAGGAAAATCAATCAGCCCACCCTCATTTATGTAATAATTAACAGATGCTGAAGCAAACACTTTATGTAAGAAAATTACAACTTGAAAGTTAAAACTCCCTTTAAAGAATGGAATAATACAGTTAATGTTGACAAATACTAATAATGGTGCAGTGGATAAAGCAGAGAGTTTATGATCACCAATTTGACTTTAAATTAAAAAAGATTAAGTGGAGATCTTTAATCTTGCTCTTTGCTTGTTTTTTTGTTTTTAAAGAAAATCACTTTCCAGCTTAAACTATGTGTGTGTGTGTGTGTGTGTGTGTGTGGTGTGTGTGTTATGTGTGTGTTAGATGTGTATGGAATAACTTGTTTCCTTTGCAAACACAAATAACAGCTTATTAAGTCTTCTTAATGGCAAGAGCAAAACCCTAATAAACATATTGAAAAGAATTCACATACCCTCTACAGCCTGTAAGTAACTGTTCCAGAACCTCAAGGTCTGTCCATTGGGTAATCCACGGACTGTGAAAAGATCACTAAGGGTTTTTGCAGAGAGATTCTCAGGTTTACAACAGAGAATTTTATGAAATACGTCTGGGTAAGCTTGAATCTTCTCTAAAACACCAAGTATTTTCAGACCCTGCTTAAAACTGAAGAAAAGAAATAATGAGCAAACATACATACATGTATACATACAAGTTTTATAATAAATCTATCTGGCATTTTATAAACAACTGCTTAAAAAAAGAAAACAGTCCCATAAAACTACATGCATTTAGACATAATATAAACTACTAGAATATACTTTCTCATCAAGAAGAAATGCATTAATGATTATTTTAAATCACTATCTTAAAAACTGTATTTTATTCAAAGTGACAAATACTATTTATCATAGTTTGACAAACTGCTCCTTCATAATATGGTTGTTAAAGGAAAATCCCTGAGTAATTCCCTGTGCATAGGGTGACTCTTGACATTGCTCTTGGTTGCCTACCCAACCATATGGTAAAACCTTACTGACAGAGGGACCCTGAACCTTGACAGACAGACAGACAGACAGACAGACAGACAGACAGACACACACACACACACACACACACACACACCTTGCTTAGCAACTGATGGGAGCACAAGCAGAGACCCACAGCCAAATGCTAGGCGAAGTTTCGGCAATCCTGAGAGACTCACAAAAATCAACTAATCAGGGTTCACAGAGACTGAACTGACAATCAGGAAGCCTGAATAGGTCTGAGCGAGGTCCTCTGCAAACATTTTATAGTTGTGCAGCTTGGTGCTCCTGTGGGACTCCAAACAGTGGGAGCAGGGGCTATCTCTGACTCCTTTGCCTGCTTTTGGGACCCTTTTCCTCCTACTGAGTTGCATTATCCAGCCTTAATATGAGGTGTGTACCCAGTCTTATTGTTACTTGTTATGTTGTGTTTTGGTTGTTATCTGTGAGAGGACGGCTCTTTCATGAAGGGAAGAAGAGTAGAAGATCTGGGGGAGAGGGGAGATGGGGAGGGGCAGGGAGGAGAGGAGGAAGGGAACTGCAGTCAGGGCACATGAGGGAAGAAAAAATACAAAAAGAATTCTGGCCAGGTGTAGAAGCACATTTCCTTAAACGTCAGCAGAGGTGGCGGGATCTGAGTTTGAGGGCAGTCTAGTCTACACACACAACATAACAAGTAAAGATCCTATCTGAAAGAGGAGGAGGTTGGGAAGAGCTTGAGAACTCTCAAGTTTTTGAAAGTACAAAGGGTTAAGAGTAATGCTCTGAAGAGTGAATTAGAGATGGCTCTTCCCGAGAACCAGGCTTAATTCCCAGTACACACAGGGCAGCAGACTACAACTGTCTGAAACTTCATTCCCTCCTCTGGCTTCTGTGGGCACCAGACATGCATACAGGGAAACACCCATATATGGTGTGTGTGTGTGTGTGTGTGTAAATCCCCTTAGAAAGAGCACGAATCAGCTCAGTATTTCAATTAAAGAATGGTCAGTACTATGTTACCAGAAGATGACAGAGTCCAACCGTCATCACATGGATGAGTAGAGAGAGCAGGTCAAGTGGTTACAGTGAGTTTCCATTAGAAAACTGCAACTAATTCAAGTGCTGATTGTTTCTCCTTGAAGATCGCATTCATGAGTTCTGAGCAGAGTTAGAGCGAACTTCTGGTGGGAGGCTAAGCTTTACACAGTGTCATTTTAAATAGCATTAACATTCTCTGAAATTAGAAATTCATGCTTATTACCAAAAACCACTTTAAATTAGATAGAATCTTTAACATAGAAACCACTTACCTCTTCAAGGGTTCTTGGACTCTCTTAATAACATGGTAGAAAAGGATGTCTTTTACCAACACGTGTTTATCACTTAATGTTGTTATAAGTCTTAAGCATCCAATATTCTCTAGGTAGCTAGAGCATTCGTTTATTGCTGACTTTAAGCTGTTCATATCAGCTGCAGCATTTATCTGTAACACAGGAGAAGAAACATTTATTCTGAATGAGACCAAATTTAAGATGATACATATTCTATATTCCATTTAAAAATGGGTACGTATGTGGGTTTCTATGAATACAGGTGCCGATGGGGATCTGGAGTTTAAAGTGGTTGTGACTTGGCTGCCATGAATGTTGGGAATTAATATGGATCTTCTGCTAAAAACAGCACCATGTCTTTTTATGTGTCTTTTGAGACAATGTCTAACTGGAGACCTTGGCTAGCTTAGACTTCTCTATGCAGAGCAGCTGATCATGAGTACAGGATGTGCCCACCATGGCCTCCCAAGAGCTGGAACTGAAGGTGTGCAGCAACTGCTCCAAACCACAGCCTGCACTCTTAATTACTGGACCATCCGTCCAGTCCTGTATTCAACTCTTCAGGACAACAGGGTGGAATAGAATTATGCCCAGAAATAAATTAGAGAAGTCCTTTACCACCCTGGAAACCATATGATGGAAAGAGAAAAAAAGAAAAAAAATTAACGTGCACAGATTGCCTTCTGACACCCACATGTGCACTATGGCATGAACACATGCCACACCAACAAATACTACAGGCTATAATGTGCAGATTTTAAACATCTATGCATTCTTTTTTTTTTTTTAAAAATGTATTTATTTATGATGTATACAATATTCTGTCTGTGTGTATACAGGCCAGAAGAGGGCGCCAGACCTCATTACAGATGGTTGTGAGCCACCANGGTCCTCCCCACTCCGTCCATGTCTAGGAAGGTGAACATCCAAACTGGCTAGGCTCCCACAAAGCCAGAACATGAAGTAGGATCAAAACCCTATGCCATTGTCCTTGGCTTCTCTTCAGCCCTCATTGTTCGCCATGTTCAGAGAGTCCGGTTTTATCCCATGCTTTTTCAGTCACAGTCCAGCTGGCCTTGGTGAGCTCCCAATAGATCAGCCCCACTGTCTCAGTGGGTGGGTGCACCCCTCATGCTCCTGACATCCTTGCTCGTGTTCTCCCTCCTTCTGCTCTTCATTGGGACCTTGGGAGCTCAGTCTGATGCTCCAGTGTGGGTCTCTGTTTCTATCTCCATCCATCGCCAGATGAAGGTTCTATGGTGATACTAAGCAAGTTTTGTAATTGAGTGTCTGATACCAGTATTTCTGACATAGTAAGACCACAATTGTAGTCTCAAAGATGTTTAATTAAACAGAGACATTCGGATCAAAAGAAAATATACCTATTAAGATAACAACTGCTGTTACTTTGACCCACTCATGTGTAACCTAAATACCAAGTCTGATTACCATCTCAAGTGATATGACCCCTTACGAAGAAGTACAGAAAACTTCTTCAGGATGGATAGAAAGCCCTTGCTGTATATGTTGGTTTAGAAACTAATGTTGGTTGTGCTAAAGATAGGAGCCTAATGCTCTAATAAACAGTGAATTCTACCAATGGAAGGGCACAAAGAAATTTTGTACCACTGAATGTAGCATAAATATCATGCTTTGGAATATTTTCTGATAAAAATGGCAGGCTGTCTTCATTTTACAACCATTTGTATTTACTACTGAAACTCTTGAATTCATGAGCACTTTCAGACATGTAAGACCTTTTCACGGGTTTATATCATTGTTTTTTTTTTTTCCTGGATGCTCTTTTGATACAGCAAAGCCAAAACATTGGGTGCCTGAGTAACTCATAGAGGTTTTTTTTTTTTTTTAAATGTATTTATTTATGATGTATACAATATTCTGTCTGTGTGTATACAGGCCAGAAGAGGGCGCCAGACCTCATTACAGATGGTTGTGAGCCACCATGTGGTTGCTGGGAATTGAACTCAGGACCTTTGGAAGAGCAGGCCATCTCTTAACCGCTGAGCCATCTCTCCAGCCCACATCTATGCATTCTTATACATACCCTAAACACTGTCAAACTGTATGGCAGTATACTACATTAATGCTCATCTTCTGTGCTTTTTCTACAATTTGAATTCAGAGATCAAGATATTATTAATTCAGCATTCTGTCTTCAATGATAAACCAGTTCAGCTCACATAGCATTTAATAACTAAATGAATGAGCAAACAGGATATAGTCAAAATGGAACTTTTGGAAGAATCAGTAGAAGAAATATTAGAAAAAAATCCGAGTTTGATATAGTCTCACTAGAAATAATAAAAGTCAGACACACCACTTTTATATACTAATAACTAGGATATACTTGGGAAAATATAATAAGAAAGAATAAAAATGCTCCCTTTTCTTATAAATAAGTATTTGAGAAAAAAGCAAAGAAAATCTTTGGACTGGGGCAAGTAATTAGCTTTTGTCTTAGAACAGAAAGAAGGCTCAGCAGATGGAATCTTTTGCCACACAAGGATAAAGACGTGAATCCCATCCCGAGTCGCAGGGTACAGGGAGAAAACTGACTCCTAAAAGCTGTATCGACTGCTTACCTACAAATGTGTGCCACGACAGCACGCAACATACACATATATGTAAAACATGCCAGGCTTGGCAAACTCACTCTAAAATTTACAAAGGGTAGGTATAGCAGTAAAGAGCACTTGTTGCTGTTTCAGGGTGGGAGTTCTGCTCTCAGTGCCCACACAGAGATTCACACATATAACATAAAAGGAAACCTTTGGAAAAAATACTTGTGATTTTAACAAGGCCTGGTGGCACCTGCCTATCTAAAATCCCATCACTTGGGAGGCTGAGGAAAAGATTAAGAGGTCAGACCAGTCTGGGCTACAGAGGACCTAGATCAAAAATAAAACCCAAAGGACTCTAGTATCAGATGACTAAGGCATCAACCTTTCTGTACGGAACAACGAAAGGATTCTCTGCTTCTCAAGTGAGACATTCACTGTTAAATGAGTTGGACATCACCAGGCAAGCAAATGGAACTGCATCTCCTTTTAAAATGCTATGTTCAAGGCCTACTAGACATGCCAGCACTCCTTCAGTTCCGGCACTCAGGAAAGCAGACAAGTGGGTCTCTGATTTTGAGGGCAGCCTACTCTTCATAGTGAGTTCCAAGCCATCAAGGGCTGTCCATCAAGATCGAAATAACCAGAAAAAAAAAAAAAAAAAAAACATAAATACTCTATCACTTCAGTTCCTTTAGTGAATCATATGATTTCTCCTCATCACATACATGAGGATTGACAAACACAGACTGGTCAGACAAACCCTTATCCTCAGGTCTCCCCTTACAAAGGAAAGTTTATCTGCTTCTAGGATGCATTATGGAACTTGCCTGACTATTTGTCCAGTCTTGGCCACTCTGACTGTAAATCTATGCAACATTAAATAACATGGAACCTATCACAATGTTCATTTCTATCTAGCTGACTCTTACCTTTCTTTTTTGTTACAAGACAGGATCTCAAGTTGTAGCTCTTAAAATTGAACTCTTAAATGGTGAGATTTGTATAGACATGTTCAACCATGCAGAGGCCAGACTGGTTTCTGACTTGGTTCTGAGCTCTTTGGGTAAACATAACAGAGCCATCACTTATATTAAAATGCAGCTAGAATATAATTTATATTTTAATAAACAAATCTCTTTTTTTTTTTTTTACCTTGAATATAATCTGTGTTACTTCAAAGTCTGAAACATCATCTAAAACTGGCACGGTATTTTCTGGTCCATAAACAAGACAGTTGAACAAAGTCTCAGAAAAGAAACCAGGAGAAGGACCACCATGAACTAAGGAAATGGCAAGCATTTTGCCAGCTTCATAGTAAAGGTTCTCTTTCAGAGCTGTAAATACAGATAAAAAAATAACTCAACAAATTAAAAAAACCCATCATTTAAAATGAAGACATAGATAATAGTTAAAAAATAATTTAAAAATCTAAGCACTTGTAAAATAACCATAAGAAACTACCATCCTGTATATGGACCTTCCCAAGAACTCTGTTGAATAGCTTCACCCTGGATATAGATAACCAATTATAGAACAAAGTGTAAATCTACGGGGAAAGTAAACTACCTATAACCAGAGGCTGCAGTGATGGCTCAGCGGTTAAGACACTTGCAGAGGACACGACTTTACTTTCGGCACACACGTGGTGGTTTGCAACAACCTGTAACTCTAATTCAACGGGACCTGGCATCCTTTTCTGACCTTTGAAGGCACCAGACACAAGTGGGATACACACATACATTCAAGCAAAATACTCATTCACATGAAATAAAAATATAATCTTTAAAAATGTGATTATAGTTAATTGTATCACAATAAATGTAAATCCTCTGGCTTACTTTTGTCTGTCATTAAATCTATACATAGTTGGGTTCTGCTATATTAGATCTGAAACTTGAATTAGTTAAAAAGTATAGCTATTAGATGCATGAAACTAGAATAGACTACAGTACAAAGCATCCCTTACAGGGCTGGAGAGATGGCTCAGAGGTTAAGAGCATTGCCTGCTCTTCCAAAGGTCCTGAGTTCAATTCCCAGCAACCACATGGTGGCTCACAACCATCTGTAATGAGGTCTGGTGCCCTCTGCTGGCCTGCAGGCATACACACAGACAGAATATTGTATACATAATAAATAAATATTTTTTAAAAAAAAAGCATCCCTTACTCGTGGCTATCCAGGTTATGGCATTTTTAACTGTGAGACATAATGTTGCAATCACTATCGGTTTACATATTCTTGCTCAAATACATCATCTGATCAGATCAATTCATATATATGGTATCAAAGGATATGAACATTTTTAAGGTTGTTTATAGATTTACTCCCATATCACACAGTTACATCATTAAGTACCTTGTAAATAGGTTATTCACAATGTGTTAGCAACTATGATGGGTGAGAAAGATATATAAATGCTAGTTTATACTTTAATAGTTCTTTAAAACAATTTATTAAAAACTAACACTTAAAGTATATTTTTGACAATAATCATATTTGCAGCTACAGTCCACAGCTGAAAAGACTCGTATGCACAGAGGGTAAGGAAATGAAAGACTTGAATCAGGATTTAGAGCACATTTCTGTGCTTTACACTGGGCCACAGCTACCTTGAGAGTTAACACAACTATTTAGCATGGTATGGGGGAGGGCAGAGAACTAAATTTACACTATAAATAGAAAAAACAATTATGCTTCAGTTAATGATGAAGGAAGAAACTGAAATGTAATAAATCTTACTCCTTTTCAATTTCCTTGTTGTAGGAAAAACTCTTAAAAACACTCAATTGTTGTTTTCAAGTGTTTATTTCAACCAAAATACATCTTTACCAACAGTAAAGGCAGAAAGGAACATAAGAAATTTTTAAAAGAAAACCTTTAATCGCAGCACTTTAGAGGCAGAGGCAGCGAAATCTCTGCGATGAGTTGGAGGCCCCGTCATGTCTACAGAGGAGTTCTAGGACAGCCGGGGATACACAGAGAAACCCTGTCGCAAAACAAAACAAAAAGGCAAAACAAAACAAAACCAAACAACAACAAAAGGGGGAGGAACCTTATATACAAAATACATATAAGACTCACTCCCAAGGTAACAGCCCCGAACTTGCTTTGCGTTTCCAAGACTCTGGGCTAAGCCCCTTAGTGCATTAAAAAAAAAAAAAAAATCAAGTTACACATGAATAATAAAAAAATTAAACACAAATTCCATGTTGTAAACAGACACACACACAGTGCTTAATTATAAAAAAGAACAAAGGCTAGGTGTGGTGGCACACACCTTTTATCCCAACACTTGGGAGGCAGAGGCAGGCCAATCTCTAAATAAGACCAGCCTGGTCTACAGAGAAAGTGCAGGACAGCCAAGGCTACATTAAGGACCCTTGTCTCTAAAAACTAAAATGTACAAGAAGACTCCAAATAGTTATCCATTTCATCTGCGGACACTAATCAAATGATATTCAAGAAATAAAGTTTAACACAGTTACAAAATCATTAAACAGATTACTATAATACAGATAAAAGAATTGCTTTTTTAAAAATATGTGCTGTCTACGTGTGTGCATAGAGTAGAGGATGCCCGAAGAAGGCACAGGTGCTGGACACCTGAACCAGGACTTTCAGGTAGTTATGATCGGCTTGATGTGGGTGCTGGGAATGCACTCAGGTCCTCTGCAAGCAAAGCAAGCGTTCTTAACCACTGAGCCATTTCTCCAACCACAGGTATTCTGAAATCTTTATTTTAAAAATAGCAAATTCTCATTCACCAACAAATGGAAATTATTTATTCCAGATATACCTAAAGAATCATAATTAAAAACCAACTCTTTGGTTTTGGCTATACATGCTATCTGCAGTATGTATAATTGCTGCGAATTAGGTCAGTACGATAAATAACCAGGCCAGCTCAAGAATAACAGTTATATTTTAATGGTTGTAAGGGGAAACTCAGGCTGTAAGAGCGGGAGGGCCGACTTCCTGTCTGTCCGGAGGGAGCGCGCAGGAAGAGCGCGCATCTGGGTCCTCCCAGTTTTCTTTCCTGGGCTCCAGGTAGCCACACCTTAACTAGATGTGACTGGTTGACAGAGTTTCACCATCATATAATAATAAATAATTACCTTGAGAATTGAGAGACAAGTTCTTTGACAAAGACCCTTCAAACAAAGATGAATTCTCAAGATGTTCCATTAAGTGACTCAGAAATTCCTGCTTTGATACAGGATGTTCTCTTCTAAATTTTTCGTTTTCATCAATGTATACTACTTCAATGGTGTATGCAGGGTTAAACTTCTGACCCTGGAACTGCTCCAAGGCACTCCTCCACACATTGGCTTTGTTGATCCATAATCTCTTAGTTTTCTTTTTAATTTGGAATCCTAACTCTACCAATATTGTTGAAATGTCTCTCTTAAACTTGCTGCCTTGCCTAGAAAACACAAATTTGAATAAAGAACATTACTTTAAAGCAGTTTATATGAAACAACAGATAGACATTAAAGTTGCAGTTCTTTTTTTTGTTCTGTTTTTAAGTTCAAAGAGATAGTCTTTTGATGATACTAGAACCAAATCCAAAATTGTTAATCTGATTGTCTACTTTTAAATTCCACCAATCTAATCATCCACCAATCGTTTGCAAGAATACTGAGGATTATTTGAATGTCTAATTCAGTGGACTCAAATTTAAGGGTATGAAGTTCAAATTTTAACTTCCTGGCCAGTAGCTAAAATAACCTGATTGCAGCAATAATGTACTTTCCATAGTGCAGCTATAATTGATAACAGAGCTAAAATTATCAACAGAACTCACACTCCCTTATGTATCTTGCAGTCTAGACCTAGACCAACAGCATCATTTATGAACTAATTAAAAGGCAAAGCGTGAGCCACAAGGCAAGTCTGCACAATCAGAACCTCTGTGGGTTAGCGTGCATGTGAAGCACACGAGTTATGTTTTCCATCAGCAGAGAGAACTAATAAACTCAATGTGCACGGATCATCTCTCTCTAACACTGTCCTGCTCAAAGACTGCAGCCATATTTTATTATTGCAGCTGATTCCTTGATCCTTGGGAATATCAATGCTGCTCCTCAAGCCATGACTGGACATTGGAACAGACACAAGCAATCAGTTATCTCTAATGCAACATCTTTGCAAATCTAAACATTAAAATTATTTTCAAACTATATAAATACAACACAATGAATGATTTTCATTTAAAAGTAACCAATTATTAGAGAGTGCTTTTCAGTTGAATTAGCAAAGAGAAATTATTGGCTCGAGTATCCTGACATTAACTGTGTATGAAGTAAACAATGGCTGTTAACATCAAGAAACCAACCTTGGTGTTAAACAGGACTTTTTTACAGAGGGACGCTGTGCGCTTAAAAACAGAACATCTTGCTTTAGTCTGAAATCAAATAATGTTGTAAAGATATTTTCCAGTTTATATCTTTAAAATTAATTGATAGTATGAAGTACAAAATAAGAAAATTACTAAAATTGATTAATGTAGCCTGCTACCTTGCTTTCTGTTTTTCCTCCCCCACTCACTCCTCCCTTCCTATATGATACGTGTTCTCAGGTATCCCAGGATGGTCTCAAATTCATTATGCAGCTGAGACCCCTGGTGTGTGACCACGCGAGGTATTCGGTTTCCTCCCCTTTCCTGACTTCAACCATCCCATGTTGGGTCTTACACTTGGAAAATCATTTTTCTAAACAACTGTATAATCAGCTAATATCCTAAGTGTGTGTGGCACCTGAAGTCATAATTTCCTTCATAGCGATTTTTTGTATTTTTCTAAAATTAAAACGCATACCTCTGTAATTCTTTATGATGGGTTCCAGCTGACTGTCTGGGGAGCTTAGATGACGGCTCTTCCAACAGGCAATCAGTAACTGTCACATTAGTAGAGTTGACTAATGGGTGTTTGGGGGCCTTTCGGAAATCTACATATTTAAATCCTGAGGTTAGCTTAACAGATACACAGGCAAACGTTTTCAACAACATGCACTTAAACAAAAGCAACTTTATTCAAAACGACAAGATTTTACCTGCACCGTAGCTGATTCTTCTACAGTCCAAACACTCCCAGTTTTGTTCCAGTAACTGCAGCGAGGAGCAGGCCACATGTGTTCCGCTAGACCCACAACACTGACAGCGCTTTACTTCCCATTTGCTGAGGACACAAAGAAAAGTCTGTTTGCACGTCTGGGAGACCAGGATGCCATTCAGATTACCACCTAAAGTCCAGTCAGACACCATACCAGCCTATCAGCGGAAGGAAAGACTACACCTTTAAGATTTCATTTCTTCCACAAAGTACTGAGTGACTTATGCAGGGTCTAGCTAGGCACTCCAGGTCCAGTGATCTTCCAACCTCATCCTCCCTAGTGCTGGGTTCTAGAATGCCATATCACATCTGACTCTAAAATATTTTCTCTTTCATTAAATGTTTATAATCTCTTCCACTACACATCCTGAACTTAAAAACCTAAATGAATACATGCATACATACATACATATATATGTATATATATATATACACGCAGAAAGAATATAAATATCAGAAAGCTTTATAATAGGGATCAAACATTTTCCTTTACATTTGGAGATAGATTACATTCGTAGAAACAAACTACTGTTCAGTGTTTCCAAAACCAAACAAATAAGTATTGCTCTGACATCAGGTTTCGTGCACTGCAGTCAAATCTAGAGTTTGTTCCTGGCTCATATTCATATTCTCTCTCATCTCTGTTCCCCTCGCCTTGTCGCCACACAGGTCTACAAATTAGGGTTTTGATTGCTGTGATAAAACCAAGATCAAAACTAACTTGGGGAGGAAAGTGTTTATAGGACCATCACTGAGAGAACCAGGCAGGAACCTGGAGGCAGGAGCTGATGCAGAGGCCATAGAGGGGTGTTGCTTACTGGACTGCTCCCCGTGACTTGCTCAGCCTCTTATAGAACCCAGAACCACCAGTACAGGGATGACACCACCCACAATGGGGTGGGCCTATCAGATCAATTACTAATTAAGAAAACTTATGGAGTTCCCCCTTCTCAGAGTATGTTTTGTCGCGCTGACATAAAGCTGACCAGCACTCAGTAGAAAGCAAAGGTGTTGGACACAAAGCTTCTTTCACACTGTGTGGGTGCGAGAATGCAATCTTTTGTACAGAAACAAATACATTCCCTGAATATATGGAAACATGGGTGGCAAGTCAGGGAGCTGTCTTCTAACCCACGTATGTGTGGGCACTGGTACCTGACCCCTCCTCAAACAATCAGTCACACTCATGCCTCTAAAAGAAGAGTTTACAACAGACCAGGTCCTCTTCTCAGTCTTTACATAACATGTTGAGCTTTTACAACTTTGAAAGTGGAAAGAACACTATCACGTATATTCTTTAAGAGGAAACTAATCACAAAGGCTAATTTTCCTAAGCTTATACTTAGAGTGAAGTTTCCAACCCAGGTCACCTTGGCTTTAGATCCATGCTCCACACTACACTAAGTTGCCTTTTACCAATACTACCTTTGTCTGAGTAGGATGAAAGAAATACAATTAAATATAAAGCAAGCATCCAGGTAACAGCTTTATGTGTCCCACGAGGGAAGGTAAAAAAAGGATAGCAATCTCAAGTAGGAGATGTAGTTTAGGGGGCCTGCGATATATAGGAAGCTTCAAAAGCTGGCCAGCGCTCAATGATTCTTCACAAGCAGGAGTCGATACAAGGGAATCACTTCACGATAAACAATTCTCAGCATCCTAAGCTTTCTATGTTAAGGGAGACTACATTAGCAGGAACAAGAACATATTTTTACTATTGCATGATTAGGCCACAGATAAGAGACAATGAGGACACATGAGGAGGAACCACCTGCATCACCTCCAGGGAAAGCTTCTAAAGAAGATGATGTCAGAGGTCCCTGGGTCTTGGACTTCTAGCTCTAAAGTAGCATCCAGTCTTCACTTGGTTACAGGAGTGGTATGTAGGGTTAAGCCCAGCCTTAGGGGGCGTGTCCACCTCGGGCTAATGTTTACCTATAAATCCACCGCCCAGCAGCCCCTTCTGCCTCCTGTTCTCCGTGGAACTGTGGGACTGTAAGTCTATTTCCCCATTAAAGCTGTATATATTTTTTTACAATCTGTCTGCATTCATTTACGCCGCTACAGTGGTATGTAATTTACATTGATAGCACACCCTCAACGTGGAACAGAGTCATGAAATTTTACTAAAAAAAGTTAATATATTGATTACAGAAATTTCTCTGTAAACATATGTACTTAATAAACATACTCCATCTTAAGCTAAAACTTCAAACATCCTAAGAGGAAAACTATTTCACTATCGAGATAATCTACAGTATTAGTTAGAACAACTAAAGGCAATGCAGCTCGCAGCAGAAATACCTATTAGGTTCATTATAGTCTCGTCCCTTTTTGCAATGACATCTTCGGACATCACAGCGGTTATGGCTCTGTAACAGATCTTCATAGGCATTTTCTTCTAATTCCCAGGATGCATCTCTATAATGAATAAGATATAAAAATGTGTTGGTCTAACAAAATTGATAATTTCGAAACAAGGACAAAAGTTAGCCTTCTTAGGCTGATCTTCTGAACATAGAAACCCATTGCTACTTTCCCTTGCGGTCAGTTTCACAGCTAACTTTCAAACACTCTGTGAGAAGTTAAACAGAATCTTTGTAAGACCTAGTATTAGTATTTTCCTACTATTTCATTTCTAACTTTGTTGTTATTCCCTAGGCTGGCTTCAAACTAAAGTGCCTTTCCCCAGTTTCTCAAGTGCTGGGATCATTAAGAGTTTGTTTTGATCTTTTTTTCCCTCTCACCCTGACCCAAGACTCCCGCCCAGGTGAGCCTGCACACCTGACACCGCCCAAGGACTGGGATCCCCTTTCAAGTTTATAACCACTACTTGGGATTTCTTGTCTTATGACATTACTAATATTCTTTTCCATTTTAAACCCATTTAGTCAGTCTTAGGTCATCTATGAATACTAACTTAAAGGTGCTATACAAATCACCAGAACTGGACTTAACTGAGAAACTAAGAAACACAGCAGCTAATAAGACACTGATACCATAGTGCCTGTTCTTCAAGACTGGCCACCTGGGAGAAGGCACTTGACCATGTGACATGACTACTTAGCCATAATCACTATTAAAATATAAATTAATTATTTTTAATATTAATAAATACTACATTTAAATGTTTTTTTTGGTCAAAAAGCCAAATGTTACTCACTTTTCAGGAATATGAATTCCCATTCTCAACATCTCTTTCTGAAAGATGTCGGTATTATTGCATAGTGTACACCTAAAGAAAAACACTCCTGCACTTAATGCTTGAACCTACAGCAGAAAATGGAAAATCTATTGTTAGCAATGCATTTCTCATCAGGATGTGAATCATATAACTAACAGAACACATGCTATCTTTCCCTTACTCTATCATGAAAATATTTTCTCTGCCAATAGCTCTTAGAACTATAAGCAACCACCTTCAACATGGAGAGCACTTCCTTCTGTTTAAAAATCGTCTCACAAACACTTAGTTCTTAACCTTTCAGCAGTCCCCGATTTACTTCCTGCAACTTGAATACTCTTCTAGCTTGCTTTCTGCTGCTATGATTAAAGAGGGGTGAGAACAACTCACAAGAGTTGAATTTTGTCTTCAATTCCCAGGTCCCACATCACTGAGGGAAGAAATTCAGGGCAGGAGCCTAGAGGATCTGGACAACCCAGGGCAAGTGTGTTTGGGTAGCCCCTCCTCCACCATCTGTGCTCAACGCCCCACAGACATGCTCACAGCCCAATCTGTTGAAGGCGAAGCCACAACTGAGGCTCGCTCTAACCCAGCTTGTGTTATGTTGCCAAAGCTAACCAGCACAGACGGTTAATACAATTTCATTTCCTAAACATTGCTTTGTCCTCCATAGTAGAAGGAGAAACAATAAAAATCTTCAGTTACTTAACTAGTGCTTATTATTATGTAAGCATTACTATTTTTTATTTGTAACTATGTTGTTTCTCTCCTATAAGGGAAGTACTGACATTTTAAGGGAAGTCTCCATGGCAAGACAGAGAACATGATATTAGGAATACTGTAATTAATAATATGTTTGATATGACATTCTGGCCAAACTGAACTAAGTAATAAGGCTAAACAGGTGGATCAGATCCTGGAGAAGAAAAGCTTCAATGATAGCGTAAATTGATAAAAATACAGTATCTGGAACAGTAAGTAGCTTATAGCAGCGAGACAGCGGTTACAACAGAAAAAGACACAATATAGGAGTTGGACTGATAAGGCTGTGGGACAGATGAAGGATGGCGAAGAAGCAGAGAGAGAAGACTGAAGCTTGGACACCTAGCACATGTTGGGCACACACAGGAAATGTTGCTAGGATACTTCAATCGGTGCAGAGAGAAGAAGCTGTCTTACTAACCATGGGATCTGATACAAAGTACCTGGTAGAAAAGGAAAGCAAGCAGAAAGAAACCAGAGACGAAACTGACCAGCAAGCACAGAATGCGTGGAGGACACCTGGACTCTGATGAGAAATACAAACTGAGTAAACACCATTCTTGCCATTTTAATGTCTAGTCTCTTTTCACCAAATTTCTCTATGTGACAGTCGAAGTAGTTAGAAGTGCTTTGTTTAACCATGTGCTATAAGCTACAGTGGGTCTATTTCTGACCTTAGTTCTAGAATCAAGAGTCTCTATAGATCCTTTTAGAGAGAGTGACTGAAGAGTTAGTGTGCAACTAATTATAACAGTAACTCTTTATTGACATATAATAGCCAAGTTTCTATGTGGACAGAATTCTAAATGCGTTTTTTAAAAACAGCAGTATGGTTTTTGTTAGCAGCATTATTTCTAAGGTCTGTCTTACATCTCACCACAGACAAGCTTGGGGGTGGGTGAGAGAGCGCTCTACAGACTGCTAGATTCCAGCCCTGCTTCTACTTTTCAATGACAAAGTCTTTATTAAAACTCATGAAAACATTAGGTCAAATCTAGGACCTCTCTGTGCTTTATTACTAACATGATGGCCTTCATTAATTACTAACTAACACATCTGTGTTTGAGAATTAACAAACTTACAACCATTTCCAACAAGATAGGCTTCAACTTACCACTTTAAACTAAATAACCTAAGTATTAACGTTCAAGAGAACATTTTTTAAAAAGCAGAAACCAGTCAAGCTGCAATACCTCATTACTCTAGTACTTTTAAGTTTTTTTGTAAATATAGGGTAATTTAACACTTGATACCTTTCAAAAGAATTAAGGACAATAACCAGAAACATTTTACTTTACTAAATAAAATAAAATAAAATCTAAGCTCTATAAACAATATTTTGTTATGTTTTGTGAGACAGGGTTTCTCTGGGTAGCTTTAGAGCCTGCCTCTGCCTCTAAGTGCTGGGAGTTAAGGCCTACACCACCACTGCCCAGCTCTATAAAACAATTTTTAAAAAGTAAATTTTTGTTATTTGGCATTGTTTTGTCTAAATATATGTCAAATATATGTATACTAGATATAAAATACTAAATAATTGGTATCGCTTTCAAAATATTTAAGAATTTTCCAAATAAAGACATTATTACAATTACACTGAATGTTTAGCATTCTGGTGGCTTCTAGTGCGCATTCAACCCAGGGGCCCTGTGCACTCTTGGCAAGCAATCTATCATTGAACTACATCTCTGACCCTATTTTCGGTTTTTATTATACTGTTTATTTGAGTAGAGCGAATACAGATTTATTAAGGGAAACTGAGAAGAGAACTCTCAATAGTAAAATAGGCTCTAAGACAGTAATTCTGATATTTTATGATATTCTATAACATTGACAGCACCAGATTTAAATTCAAATAAGCAAGCAACAGATTTTATATTATAGAGACAAAAATTGCAAAGCTGCATTACCTGTAAGCAGTCTCTGTGAAACCAAGCATTCTTACAACAGGGGCTTCGCAGGACACTGTAAGTAGGAATAGGATCAATGAACTCCAAACAGATGGTACAAGGTAAAGAGTCTCTATACATATTGGATGTCATTGCTTGAACTGGCCGATGTTTCCAGCAAAATGACCTAAAAATGGAAATTATTTAAGAATATATAAGGAAAAAACCATAAATCAGTTAACACTGTAATTTATAGATAATTCCTTTGTTTTACAAATGCATCTAAAACAAATGTGCGCCCTAGAGTTGAAACATTCTAGAGTTGAAAGCCGGATGTGAATAACCTCAGGACCTTTGTAGACATGGTAACTCTGTAGTTTGATCAGATAGAATTACTACAAGAAGTCATGCATTATACAATACAATATTGTATACAAATACACATACATCATGTATCTTACATATATATTATGTATGTATTATAAATTTAGCACAGTTTTAAAAAGCAATTTTACATGGGAATTATATCTTTGGGCTATTTATTTACCATTGTTCTTTAACATTTATATTTTCTTACTTAAAAATTTTTTAAATGTTTACAAGATGTTTTGCCAGTATATACATCTCTGTACCAATTACAGGCTAGGTGACACCAAAAGCCATTAAGAGAAAGCTGGATCCATTGGAACTGAAGTATCAGAGAGTTGTGAGCTGCCACTTGGTGCTGGGTATAAAATCTGGGTCCTGTGGAAGAGCAGACAGTGCTGACTCATCATTCCAGCCCCTCATATTTAATACTTAATTAACAGTTAAATAACTCACGCAAAATTGTCAGTGAACTGGAAAATACATTCGTTCTGAAGTCCACAGGGAAAGTGGTAACTTCGTTTACATCTGGGCACAACACATCCAATTGAAGCACCATTTTTTTTGCAAACTGCACACTTCTAAAAGAAATATGAAAACAGGAGAATTTATCAGTACAATAGCATAATCAAATAGTTAGAGTATTCCTTATAGAGAGACAGAAGATTATTGCCATAGTGATAGTATATTCTATCCTAACCCAAATGAGAAAATTCTAAGATATGTGCTGCGTAGGTCTCTTTTTAGTCAATTTGATGTAAGAGTGCTCAGAGAAAAGGAGCTTCATTCAATTGAGGTAAACGCCTCCATCAGATTGACCTGCAGGCAAGACTCTGGGGGCATTTTCACCATCAGAGATTGGTGTTGGGGGCTCAGCCTATGGTGGCTGGGCAGGTAATCCTGGGTTGTATAGGAAAGCAGGCAGAGCAAGCCATGGGCAACAAGCCAGCAAGCAGCGTTCCTCCATGGACTCTGCTTCTGTTCCTTTTTCTAGGTTTCTGTTTGAGTTCCTTTCCTCAAGTTGGACTGTGACATGGAAATTGAGGTAAAATATACTAGCCGGGAATGATGACTATCACACACCTTTAATCCCAGCACTCAGGAGGCATAGACAAGTGGATCTCTGAGTTTGAGGCCAGCCGGGGCTATACAGAGAAACCCTTCCACGCTGTTTTTGACTATGGTGTTCCTTACAGCACTGGAAGGAAATTGGCGTGGTTTGCTCACCTAAGGGATGCTAAAATTTAGAAAAGCCAGTATCTGTGAACTGAAGTGGAAACACAGTTCTTATAGACATAATTATTCAAGATCTTAAGGTCTCCTTTGACTAGTGTCTTTATGAGGGCAGATTTAAAACACAAGACTGCTGTGGGATAATGTTCTTGTATAATGTAAAGTTTTGTCACTCATACTGGTTTGATAAAATGCTGTTTGCCAGTAGCTAGGCAGGAAGTACATACAGGCTGGGCAACCAGACTAGAGAATACTAGAAAGAGCAAACGCAGAGAGTCAGTCACCAGCCAGACGCAGAGGAAGCAAGAAAAGAATGCCAAGCCACATGGCTAAACATAGATAAGAACTATGGGTTAGCCGGGCAGTGGTGGCACACGTCTTTAATCCCAGCACTAGGGAGGCTGAGGCAGGCCGATCTCTGTGAGTTCAAGACCAGCCTGATCTACAAGAGCTAGTTTCAGGACAGCCTCTAAAGCTACAGAGAAACCCTGTCTCGAAAAACAAAAAAACAAACAAACAAAAAACAAACAACAAAAAAAGAACTATGGGTTAATTTAGGTTGTAAGAGCTAATTAATAAGCCTGAGCTAATAGACTAAAGAGTTTATATAATTAATATTAGCCTCTGTGTGTTTCTTTGGGACTGAATGGCTACAGGACTTCCATCTACAAATGTTGCCCAACATTTGGAAGCTACACCTACATAAAACCTGAGAGAGTTTGAGAAGGGATTCTAGACACAAAAGAATAAAGTCAAGCATGATTTCTTGGTAGCAGCATTTTCTCAGGTAGGCTCTGTTTGCTAGAGGCACACCTCCTTTGAGAGAGACTTCCTGACTCAGCATCAGTGGCAAAAAACCGCACAGTTCTTTAAAGAGGCCCCGCTACCAAACAGTTAAATGATGTTTATGAGCAGTTGGCAGCATGCTTCTTGGCAGCATGCTTCTTGGTGTTGGCATGGACCTAGAAATTCCACAGAGTTGTGGCAATAAATGGGTCTCCTGCCAGTACCTCTACCATGAAGCTAGACTCTCAAAAAGCCAAGGAGTGGTGGAGCCAGCCGCCAAAGTCTCCACTAATCCTAGCCATGTTGTTTAGCAGATTAAAGATTCATACGGCCACAAAAGGGTAAGAGATATACACTAAAGACTAAATAAATAAAGCCCCCAAAACCCTCTAAATGGTTTATACAGTGTTTAAAAAAGTATATGTAGGCTTGGTAGAGAAAAGAAAAAGGACAGAGTAGGTCCTAAAAAACAAATAGAATAGCCAGGTGTGATGGTGTACGCCTTTAATCCCAGCACTTGGGAGGCAGAGGCAGGTGGATCTCTGTAAGTTAGAGGACAGTCTGGTCTACAGAGTGAGTTCCAGGGCAGCCAAAGATACACTGAGAAACACTGTATCAAGAACCAAAAATTAAAAAACAAAAATAAAAGAATTAGAGTTTTAAAAAGCCACATAAAGATGGGAACTACACAGAGAATATGGCTACTGCATGTTATTGTGTTGTCTTTAAATTGCTTGACTACTGAGGAAGGAGCAACAGCTGCTAAAAGACATTTTATTATTAACGCTGCTGGATTAATCAAACCTTTATGTTTTGATGCCTTGACTTCAAAATTTAAGCCAAAAGATATGTTACATTGAAGAGGTTTTGTTTTGCTTCCACAGGAAATGATAGGCTGTGGATTCATTCTGGGTTAAAAAAAAAAAGTAAGGTTTGATCAAGGAAGACCCCGTGAAAAATTTCCAATAAGAATAGACTGCCCAGATGAGCCAACATTTCAGAGTTATCTCTGTTGCAGTAGTCTTCTGAGTTCAAGGCTGACTGAGAGGATCTAGTCTCACAGAATACTCCAGTCAGAACTTGACCATAGTCCTAAATTTTCTTTGGGTCCCCATAATCATCAGGTAGTAGCCTAGAAAACTAGGCACACATTACCCCGCAAAATAGATTATGGATGTTTGTCATTGTTTCATGTGTTGGTTACAAGTTGTTATGGATAATTGATGTAGGAGGTCCTTCTGTATTTGCATTGCTTTCATTGGTTGAATAAAGAAACTGCCTTGGCCTTTTGATAGGGCAAAATTTAGATAGGTGGAATAGACGGAACAGGATGCTGGGAAGGGCAATGTGGCAGACGCCATGGTTCTCCTGCCCAAGACAGACACTGGTTAGACTCATGCTGCCGGTAAGCCACAGTCAAGTGGCGATACACATTAATGGAGATGGGTTAAACTAAGATGTGAGACTTAGCCAGTAAGAGGCTAGAAATAATGGGCCATGCAGTGTTTAAATGAATACAGTTTCTGTGTGATTATTTTGGATGTAAGCTTAGCAGGGCAGGATGGAACAAAAGGACCCACTCCTCTTACAACAGATAATGGTCAGAAAAAAGGCTAAACAAATGAGATTAGATTCAGGGCTCTTGTTTTGAAAAGGAAAAAGGGGGAAGTACTGTGGGATAATGCTCTTGTATACTGTAGTTTTGTCATTCATATTGGTTGAATAAAACACTGGCCAGTAGCTAGGCAGGAAGTATAGGCAGGGCAACCAAACTACAGAATTTTGAGAAGAGAAGAAGGAAAGGCAGAGTCAGTCACTAGTCAGACACAGAGGAAGCAAGGTAAGAATGCCTTACTGAGAAAAGGTACCAAGCCATGTGGCTAAACACAGATGAGAACTACAGGTTAATTTAAGTTGTAAGAGCTATTAACAATAAGCCTGAACTAAGAGGCCAAATAGTTTATAATTGATATAAACCTGTGTGTTTTTTTGGGACTGAATGTCTCTGGGACCAGGTAGGACAAAAACTTCCATCTACACCAGACACTAATAAAACAGGCTATATGAAGACAAAAGATGACCTGGGGTTACACTATTTGTGAACAAGGGACATCGAAAGCTACCAGCAACCATCAGGAGGGAGGGGAATGAACATACAGGAGGAATTCACTTCATAATCTTTAGCAAGCTCCAAATCTCCTAACACTATACTTTGTAACATTCAACTCTAAACTCGTGAGGAACTGTATTTCTGTAATTTCTTATGACAGTCCCGGGAAATAAGACCAAAGTCACTAATAGTGCCATAATAGCGGCACATGCAGAAGACAGTAATTTGAGTATATATCTGAGCCTAAAAATACCTTGGAAAACCCTGATAATGGTCAATGATTCAGGGATTACAGACTCACTGCCATCTCATGGGTTCATCCAGGCCATATGAACAATCCTGGAGAGGATCCTACGGTAGGTTGCTGTGCGATGGTCTTACAGTACACTGTGAATGTGTTGTTCTCTTTAGTTAATAAATAAAGCTGCTTTGGCCTATGGCAAAGCAGGATAGAGCCAGGCGGGAAATCCTGGCAGAGATACAGGCAAAGAAGGGTGGAGTCTGGGAGACACCAGCCACCCAAGAAGAAGCAAGACATGTAGAAAACACCTTGGCCATGTGGCAATACATAGATTAATAAACACAGTTTAATTTAAGATGTAAGAGCTAGCTAGTAATAAGCATGAGCCATCAGCCAAATATTTCTAATTAGTATCAAGCCTGAGAAGTTATGCAGGAACTGGCAGGCTGGAGAAACCTCTGCTTACAATGGGGTTGGGAGGACTCCTGCTCAAGTCAGGATGCTTTCAAAGGCCCAGTGTACTCAGAGAGTTTGATGTTTTAAGAAAATAGGTAGCTAAAGAAACATGCAATGGAAACTACCCTAATTCCAAGTTTGCTGTTAAAAGGTAAAGGAATTTTGATAATAGCATCCTCCCTTGTGAAGATGGACACTAAAAAAAAAAAAAAACAAAAAAAACAAAACAACAACAACAACAAAAAAAAAACAAACCCACACTAGCTCAGAATTAAGTATAATAAAGGGTTATTATTTAGGGGTAAACTCACAGATCACAGTCCTCTGCTAGAACGGGGAAAGCAACCGAATCCCTCAGTTGGAAGAGACGTTGACGTGTGTCTTACATCAGCATATATAGTATAAGAGGCCATGCCCAAGTGGGTGGGTAACTTAAAGGCTGCTGGCTGTAGGAACTCCTACAACACCCTTGATCTTTTGGCTCATGCTAACCACCATACAATGTTTCTCTAGAGCCCTAGATACTCTATTTTACCATCAACTCCTTTTATTCCAACCACTCACCACCGAAAGTGACTATCTCCACTAAAATAAATGCTTTTGTGTGCTTCCTCTGCAAACCTTCGTGAATGACACTGCCTTGTCTTCCCATCCACCTTATTTTCACATCTGGCTCACATTCCTCCATCTCAAGACTTTGGAACCCCAATCAAAGGCTTTTTATGTACTTCAACTCATGGCTTCAGCATTTTTGTATCAACCTCTGAGTTCCTGAATATTTTAATGTTCTTTGCCCCCACTTGAAAAAAAATGATAAATTATCACATCTCCTAAGCTGTTCACTATGGAAATCATCATTTCAAGTCTCACATTCAGAACTTCTCGTATTTTCAACTTTTCGGTCTTCAACTGCCATTATTTCTACTCAGAGCAAATAGAGACTAGGTTTTCCCTTGCAGATACCATAGTTATCATATGGACGCTTCGAAAACAACTGAATAAGCAAGAAGTTAAATTTAGGACACATAAAGATCATTAGAGTTACAGATACAAAAAAAAAAATCACCAGTCCACACAGTTGTGTAATTTCTGCCTTAGCATCATCCCAGTCTCAGCAACTGAGGTACATACATGGGTGAGGAGAATCTGCATTAAAGGACTGCAGATGAGCAGAACTAAACTGCTGTCACTGGCACAAAAATAGATAGAAATGGGAACCACTGCATTAAGCAAACAAGTCAACTGCAAATACATACTGCAGGGTGTTCTCTTACACGCAAATCCTTCATTTTAGTGTGTGTGAAAGCGAGAGAAATGAGAGAAAGGGAACTGGGCTGGCTATTGTCATGTCAACCCGACACAAGCTAGAGAGGAGGGAACCTATTGGAGAAAAGGCCTCCAGAAAAATCAAGCTGTAGAGAAGTTCATGGGGGCATTTTCTTAATTAGTGATTGATGTGGGTGGGGACACCTCAGGGCTAGTGATGCTGGGTTCTATAAAAACAGCAGGCTGCAGCAAGCCAGAAGGAGCACTGGTGTGGGAGAATTGTCTATATTCTGTCAATCATGTTTTAAATAAATGCTGATTGGCCAGGCAGGAAGTATAGGTGGGTCAACCAGACAGGAAGTAGAGGCGGGGCGATGAGAACAGGAGAATGCTAGGAAAGAGGAAGCCCATTCCCCCGACTCCAAAGAAGCAACATGTGATCTGCCCCGGCTGTGAAAGGTACTGAGCCACATGGCTAACATAGATCAGAATAATGGGTTAATATAAGTAACAAGAGCTAATAAGTAGCCTGAGCTAATGGGCCAATCAGTTTATAAGTAATGCAGACTCTGTGTGGTTTTCTTTGGGGCTTGCTGCCTGTGGGGTACCCGGCGGGACAGAAACCCCAACAAGCAGGCCCCCTCATTGTTACAGAGCACACTAGTAGGCAGCAATCCTCCATGGCCCCTGCATTCTTACCTCCTGCCTGCATGCTACCACAGGTCCCCTCCATAGGTCCTGCAGTGTTCTCCTGCCCCGATGTTCTTGCCCTGTTTTGAGTCACTACCCTGACTTCTTTGAATGAACACTGATGTGGGAGAATAAGCCCAATGAACCCTTTCCTCTCCAAGTTGCTTTTGGACATGTTTCCTAACAGGAATAGTAACCCTAAGACAGGAACCGTAAGAGAGATAGTTCCAGAGGGGGGCGGGCTCAGGGAACATCACAGAACATGGGGACATAAGACGGATGGAGACTGTGGTACAATGGTGCCTTTGGAACATGGCATTGCTCATGTCCTCACATTCACAGCAGTTGTGACCATCAGCACATAGCACAAGCCTGGCCTGTCAACATCCTACCATGGTGTGAGAGAGGAGTTCGTAGGTCTTCCAATACCTTATTTAGGCAGATAATGGCACCTAGGGAGTTTAGATACGTTTCTGAGTATCTAGAGGCAGTTAATGGTTAGTAGGAAGAAGGAAGATTTTCTTTTGTGGTAATACCACTGTAAGGAGCCCAAACTCCTGTAAATAAACTTTACCCGGGATGCTTTATGTAATCTTAATAAAATGCAGGAGGTAACCAGGAAAAACAATTATAAGTAAGAACATGAATGTAAAGGACTGGTGGAAAGGGACCCACATGAGTAAGAGGGAAACGGAGGCAAATACATTATATATGAACCAAAGTTCCACAATGTATGCATAATTAAATATGCCAATAAAAATAACTTTAATAGAATAAATGAAAGCAGACAAGAGGGTTGGGGGGAAAGAGACTAAGAGCAAAGCATGTGGGCCTCCTTCGAAAACTAGAAATAAAACCAAAAGTCAACGAAATGACAGAAAAGACGACTAGAAATTCCCTACTGCTAAGTTTTAATCAGTGTAGGTTAGACTTTCTTCTACAAAAACATAAAAATGTTTTATCAACATTTATATTAGATAAAAATGTCCACTAGAATAAAAGACCTTTACCCATAAATTTCTAGTACAGGAACTGATAAGAGAAACTTTCCAAGGCAACACTAGCAGCATCTGTGGAACTTAGTGTGAGGAATAAAGCAATGACTTACCAGTTTAGAAGCTCTATGGACTTCCTTCTTGATGTCTTCTACTAGGAAGCCATAAACTCCTTCTTCTTCTTTACCTCTCTGCCAAATTCCACTTGACATTAGCTATGAATATATACTCAATTAGGAAATGCACTCAAGAAACAAGGTTGGAATTAATAAATGTATACATTACTATTTTTCTCATGGCCAATAAGAGGCAATTAACAGCACTTGACTTTGAAGACACTGCATATTAACAGTGTATATATCTGAGTAACAGACAGACAGAGCCTTATCAGCCACACCCTGGCACTCTAGTCCGCTGTAGTGCTGGAAGATTTTCATACTGTTCATAACAAAATACAATTTTAATAAGGCTAAGTCTAGGATCAGCATTTGCGGTGGTTTGAATAAGAATGGCTCATACATTTGAACTCTTAGTCCACGTGGAAGTGAGCTATTTGAAAGGATTACAAGGATTAGGAGGTGTGGCCTGACTGGAGGAAGTGTGTCACTGGGGGTGAGCTGTGAGGTTTCAAAAGCCCAAGCCAAGTGCATGGCTGGTTTCAGATCAGGGTGTAGCTCTCAGGTACTTCTCTACAAGCCAAGTGCATGGCTGGTTTCAGATCAGGGTGTAGCTCTCAGGTACTTCTCTACACCTCGCTGACTTCCCGCCACCATGTACCCTGCCATGATTATGGACTAAACCTAGAAACTGTAAATAAGCTTCCAATGAAATGCTTTCTCTTCTAAGAGCTCCCTTTCTCATGGCATTTCTTCACAGCAGTAGAGCAGTGACTAATACAGTACTCTTTTGCAGAGTTTGCAATGAGTAGTTTTAGTCTCAATAATATCCTGAAATACAACTAGTACATATTTGTCTAGGACTTGGGTACAAGAAATGACTAACAGAAACAATTCTAAAGTCTTTATAAAAAAATAAAAGGTTAAGTGGAAATTTTCCAATGCTAACTTCGTGTTCTCTTAAGGCACAGTAGGAAATGATTAGAATCGTAGATGAATCTACCAGTATACTGAACTCCTAGAGTACAGTGGCGGGTGCTGCCAGTCACAACCTGCAGTCAACGGGGACGATTATGGGGACCTCTAACTTGGGTGGGAAGACCTGCGCACTGGGAGTTAACGTTCCCTGGCTGGGACCCTGAAGAACTCAAGTGAGCTGAGCTCTGCGTATGTATGTATGTATGTATGTATGTATGTATGTATGTATGTATGTGTGTATGTATTCTCTGCTCTCTGCTTATCAGCTCTCAAGCCCTGCCATTGTGCCTTCTCCACCATGACAGACTGTGGCAGGAGGGCCAGAACACAGTCGCCTCCTTCAAGTTGCTCAGGACACAGCACAGCAACAGAAAAAGCATCTGAAACAAGCACTGTCTTGGATATAACACAGACAATAAAGCAGAAGTGATGATGATAATGAAAACTAGATTGGTGATGGTTTCATCGAGGGTCTCTCTCCCCCATCCCCATACGATATACCATGAGCAGTCCTTCTAAGAAGCCTGGCAGTAAGGAGCTAGAAGGAACTATGACTAAAAGCATATGAGCAGCCATTGGAGGGAGACCCTCCTTAGTAAAGCCTTCAGATGTATCTGGGTGACATCTAAATTGGAGTCACATTAATGACTCAGCCAAAAACTATTCAGAGAATAAATATTGCTTTTCTCTGTTAAATTTCGGAATAATTTCTATAGCACTCACAAAGAAATAACTTGGTTTCGATGCAGCCGTAGCAAGCTAACGGTCTAAGGCACCAGGAACTTGCTTCATTTCAAGTCCTCTGAAATGGGAAGCCAGCAGAGCGAAGGGAAACAAAGGGAAGTCATCTACAAGTGAAGTCTTTGCTCTCCCCCTGAGCAAATCCTATTACCGCCTATTTCTTTTCTACTAATATTAATGACCTTTGGTCAGAACTTTTCCTTCCAATTGCTCTATGAAATAAAATACTTTTCTTCTACTCCCTGAGCCGTCTAACAAGTCTTTTCTGAGACATATCACTAGCAACAAAGGAAAAAAAAAGTGGTAAAAGGGTACTTCCCTTAGAGATCTAACTATTCTCTCGTTTTTAATAGAAAGATAAAACAGGTAAGGGTAAGTCTTTATATGCACCAAGTAAGTAATCTCAGGACCTTAAAATCCAATATAAAAATGATATTTTATATAGATATGGAAAAGCCCCAGAAGCTAAGTGATGTACCTAATTCTTAGAAATTAGTGTCATCTATTCCTCTCTAGTACACATTTCCAGAACTAGCGACTACTTACCAAACAGTAGTAATGGACACTGAATTTCCATTTCTCGTAAGTTTTCTTTTCTCCGTATTTATTGGGACAGTCATCACTTTTTCGGCAGAAAATACAAGCTAATAGCAAAAAAGTAGGTAAATATAAAATTTATCTTAAAATTACAATAATTTATAGAATTAGTGCTTCTTTGATGTGTGTGTGTCCACGTGTGAATGGTGGTCAGAGGACAACCTCGGGTGCTTCAGCTCTCCCTTTCCAGTTTGCTTATGGCAAGGTACCTTCTGCCATCGGCTGCTGCACACACCAGGCCGTCTCTGCCTCGCATCCCCTTGTAGGGACACCAGGAGCACAGCAATGTGCCACCATGCTTAACTTCATGTGAGTTCTGGCGTTCAGAATGAGCATAGCAAATACTTTACCCACTACTGCAAATCCCCAGCTGCAGAATTTTGTCCACTTGGACAAGGGTCTTGGGTAGTTCATGTCTATGGTTTCAGAGGACAGGCCTCATTCTCAAATAAGTGTGATTATGTTTTGATCTATGTGGTAGCTCCCGAAGGGATGGTGTCAAATGCCTGTTTGTTTTTGCCAGCCTTAGAATTCTCTTATGGTTAAAATAAGAACGTCTAGGGCAAGCAATCGACAGACTAAAAAACTAGGAAAGAAGTGGAGGAGAATGGATATATACAAGAGTAAGGGTCTTAAAAAGCTCACATATACACTGCAGAGTAGGGGGTCAGGTGTGCACCCGTGGACATGCCCACGCTCATGATGACCCAAGAAAACAAAAACTGACTGCTGGAGGCTTTGATGTGCATTCATAACCAATACATTAGAAAGACCTCGAATTGATAAGGGCCCCGAAGGCCAACATACTCCATTAAGCATTCATTTTTATAGCAGACTAAAATCCATTAAAATTGTGCTACTTCATTAAATTTATTTTTTAAAAATTACCTTTACCAGAACAAATACTGGTTTCTATGAAGCACACTGATTTAAATAAAAAACAAGAGGTATTCATCCAAGGGGAAATCAAGTCAGAGTAAGGGTATATTTAGCAAGTGTACAATGGTATTACATAATCACTACAATTTCTAAACTACTGGCATTGCTGATATAACTCAGGAGGCATAGCAAGAAAAGACAAAAGTATGTGGGGATAGAGGATTGGTAAGAACAAATTTCCTTGTTCAAAGTAAGGTAGAGTCAACAGACTAAAAGTGATCGTCAAGAGGATGGATATTAAGGTAACTGGAGAGTTGGCTCGTTTGGTATATTTATCACACACATGAGAATCTAAGTTTGAATCTCTAACACCTGTAAAAAGTCAGACTCAGTTGTACAGAATTCCTACACCAAGGAGGCAGAAACTGGTGGATTCCTTGCCAGACAGTTGAGTCAACTGGATGAGTTCAATATTCAGTGAGATGACGCATCTCAAAAAAAAAAAAAAAAAAAAAAAAAAGCAGGCAGTGGTGGCTCACACCTTTAATCCCAGCACTTGGGAGGCAGAGGCAGGCGCATCTCTGTAAGAGAAACCTTGTCTCGGAAACCACCCCTTAAAAAATGGTGGGCATGATGGCATACACCTTTGACTCCAGTACAAGGGAGGCAGAAGCCTATGGATTTCTTTGAGTTCAAGGCTGCCTGATCTACAGAGTGAGCTACAGGGCAGTCAGGGACAAGTATAGTGAGAACAAATCAAAACAAAAGCCCCACAAAGCCTAAAGGAGGGAGTAGCAAGTATACAGAGTAATAATGTGGATTCCTCACCATTCGCAGTAGCAAGTCAACAGATATGGCTTAGAATAAAGAAACCAACTATGTGTCAACAGGGGAGATTGCTGTAAAATGAGAAATTTTCCTTTTCATGTTAAGACTTTTGTTTATTGCTTATACTGTCCTCATTTTCAAAGAAAAAAAAAACACGAAAAATTTAAACAATAATTTTCACAGATTCAAATCCTATCTGACAAATGACATAAGATATATAAAAATAAATCTGAAAAATGTCTCTGGTAGCAAATTCAGTATGTGGAAATGAAGACAATCATAATAGAACACACGGACCAAGCATGATTAGAATAGTCATTCTTAAGGCTAGATATTATTCAAATGAATTTTATTGTGATAAAAATATTGTAAATAGTTACTTACCAAGATTTTGTGAGTCATCAGGTTTATTTTCATTCATTTTACTAGGAAAGTAAGAACATTAATCTTAATTTAAAAAACCTCTAACCATTTTTCTTAAATTCAATCAGTACATGATTGCAATCAAGTCATTTATAATCATTTCATGCAAAGCATAGTAGTTAATTTTCACTTTTAGAACAAATAGAGATCAAAAAGTGTGTAAGAATTTGAGGATTTCTTTAGCACTGGAAAGAATATTTAATTATTAAAACAAATACTAGGATTGTGGGATGCCCTGCAGTGCACCTAAAAGTTCCACCTAACAGAGAATTGCCTGGATTCCCATATTCCTAAATAAATATTAAAGTATTTTAAAGTCCCCTTGTAATTACATTATCCTGTCCCAAATGTGAGGGATGCCAGCCAGCTATTGTTAACTGTTGGGTTTATTAAAACATACACCAGCACCCGAGAGTCCCAGCCCTCTTCTGTGCTGCAAATCAGTATTAGCTCAATGTGACAGGTATATATGACTATACAGTAATTCTAGAACACAATTTCTTTATAACGAGATCCCAATTTCTCTGTGGTTACATATTTTTGGCCTTTTCCTACTACAAAGACTCATGGAATCTCTCTTGGTGAATGATGTCATAAACGTCTGACCAACTCTTTAAACAGTCATGTTACCTAAATTTCTTTTAAAAAAAGCTGTCAGAGGTTCCCTGTTCATTGCTAGTTAGCCAGATTACCCAGTGTATGTCAGTCTCAAACTTTAGTTTTTCAAGTCGTATCAACGCCATCACTCTAAAGATGCAATCGGACCCAGCAGGAGACCAGTACTTTCGGTCATTTGGTTTTGTTCGATAAGAAATCCTATTGGGGGGCTGGAGAGATAGCTCAGAGGTTAAGAGCACTGACTGCTCTTCCGGAGGTCCTGAGTTCAATTCCCAGCAACCACATGGTGGTTCACAACCATCTGTAATGAGATCTGGTGCCCTCTTCTGGCCTGCAGGCATACATGGAGGCTGAACACTGTATACATAATAAATAAATTAATTAAAAAAAAAAAAAGAAACCCTATTGGTTTTTCCTCTTTGTGATTCTACTGCAGAGTCAGAACACTCGTGTTTTTAAGCCACTCTGTGAAAATGAGTGAAGACACAGAGTATACAAAGTTGCTTTTGCTATTTTTTTTTAATCCTGTGACTCCCCCCCCCCCATGATTGAAGTAAAAACAGCTACTCAAAGAGTTGACATTTTGAAGAAATTGTGTCAATTGTATAGTTTATACTTCTAGTTTAGAGACAGGGTCTTACAATGTAGCCCTGGCTGGCCCTGAAATCTCAGAGATCCACCTGCCTCTGTGTCCCCAGTGCGGCAATGACATCCAGTTCTATTTCATACTTCTAACATTAGAATTTTTGTTCCTTGATCCCGAAATACGCTTTTCCTTTTTTAAGTCCAGATTTAGGATCTCCCTCTCACATGAGGGCGAGAACCCAGGCACCCTAAATGTTAGGCAAATGCTCTACCATTGGGTTCATTTCACCTTGTCCTGAGAAAGGGACCAAACTGGACAAGGCGACATCCAATTTGCAAGCCTGCCACAGACTACTTATTACAGGCTTGTACCACCACGCCCAGCTGCCATCACTTTATTTCCAACAAGTCTACCCACATATTTTTAGTTGTATCTCGAAAGCATTCCCAGTGTCAGTCTTAGAAAACAGTCGCTCTTCCCTTCTCTGAAGAATCACTCTCTGACGGAGCTCCATAGTGCCACAGTAAGGAGTCCCCCACAGCTTACCCTCACTTTGATGTTTCAGCAGGCAAGGCCTGATGCCCTGACCTGTGTGATTAGTTCTTAATAACATCATGCCATCAAAAGCCAAAAACAGGATCACAGATCTAAACGTACATCTTGGCTGGGCACGATGGTGCACATCTTTAGTAACAGCACTCAGGAAGTAGAGGAAGGTGGCTTTCTGTGAATTCAAGGCTACACTGGTCTACACAGTGAGCTCCAGGCCAGCCAAGACTGCAGTGAGATCCTGTCTCAAAAAATAAAAGTGTATTTCTAGAAAAAAACAAACAAGAAAGTCTTTGTTAACTTGTATTAAGATTTGCGAGGGGGCTGGAGAGATGGCTCAACAATTAAGAGCACTGCTCTTGTCAAAGATCCAAGTTTAGTTCCTAACACCCACAAAAAGGCTTACAACGACCTTTAACTCCTCTACAAGCACGGGGCAGGCATGTGGTACACAGACACAAGCAGGCAGAACGTTCACATACATGAAGAAATCTTAAAAAAAGGAAAGATCATAAACTATGAAGCTGAATCATGAGATCATTGATGAACGATGAAATCTAAAAATTCAAATTAAAAAAATTAGAATCAAGTGAAAATGAAAATATAACTTATCAGAACCTTTAAGAAACAGTAAAAGCAGGACAGGCCTTAGCTCCGTGGCCCAAGCCCTGTGGGGGTCTCTAGTCCCTAAGAGAGAAACAGGAAAGGTGGGGAAAGCTCATGGCCACGCATGCTTAGGTTATTAGAACCAGAGAGAACTCAATGATGCACTTCAACGACTCAAAGAAATGATCTGCTTGGAAACGACACGATTGACATTCTTAGCCAGAGTAACCAACAGAGAAAACAAAAATTCATGAGACCTACGAAATGGGGGCTCATTAGCATGAAACCTTGGCCACCTTACCTGGTGGGATATGGAATGTTTCTAAACCAGGCCGAGGTGATGGCTTTACTTTATAAACGCACTGTCACTCAACTGTGTATTTACAATGGCTAATTTCATGTGAATTTTACCTAGAAAATGCTATATGTACAACTATTTCTATCAAATATTGGATGGAAGCAGAGTTGCTACATACAAATGCTCAAGTTGCTTTTTCTGTAATGGTCCAAAACCCAATGACCTAAATATGCATCAAAGACAGATTGAAACATTGTAGCATATTTGTACAATGGAATATGATCACTAAACTGCATTTAACCAAATCCCTAAGAAGGACAATGTTCACTACTTACAAACTGAATCACCACATAAATTTTGTATTAGGGATATCTTTTTAAATTAAAAGGAAAATGAATCAAGGTACTAGTGTGTCCTGATTTTCATATACAAATGGCCCTCAGCAAACAACTTCCCTTGGTCTCTACATATTATGCCTACTGCTTGGGATTCTAATGTCATCCTAACTCACAAAAGGATCTCTGCAGTTTGCATTCCAAAACCTTGTAGTATTCCAACTCAAAAATTCAAGAAGAAATCATGTGGATGATCTAGACTGTTTAAGGTACACAAATTCTGATTAAAAAACGCACACCACCTTCCCTGCAGAAGGGGAATCTGACGCTCCAGATAACCCTACCCCCGGTCTATAGAAGGATTGCCCAACATTATTGGACAGGTTTTTACAGAAAAGAATGTGGGCAAGGTGGTCAGGAAGAGCAAACTTCTCTGTTTTGGAGTTCTCTGACATCCTTTATTCAGTTATACTGTACATCACTCATTTTCACAAACAGCATCAAATATAAAACAACACATTTTAAAAATTGTTAAATATTTTGGTACCTCAGTTCAAAAATGTCATCAGGCTTAGTGAGCGAATACATATAAAACGGCTAGTAGGTCATAAATGTGAACACATACTGATGATCTTTTTCCGTATTTGAAAGTTCTCCAGTATGTCTCAAATTTGGCTGTTTACAGACTGTGTATCACCTGAAAACAGTCTGGAATCAGGCTGTCTTTTTGTTGTTGTTTTTTAAAGAAGGTAGAGATTGGGATCATATATTGGAGAAAATGGGAAACCACAGTTTCATAAGCCGAAGCAGCAGGAGACAGGAAGCAGTCCTTGCAGAAATTTTTATCTCAGGACAGGAAGATGGCTCTGCTGGTGAAGGCTCTAGCCACCAAGCCTGAGACAGAGTATTATGAGAAAAATGATTCTCAAAACAGACAATCCCCAGGAAACAGGGTCTCTTGGTCTCTACATATTGGATCACAATGCCTCTGACCTCCATAAAGCAAGCACACGCACACGTGCACGTGCACACACACTAATTTAATTTCTTAGTTAAATCTATTTTGGGAACTTTAATTAGTTACATAAGAACTACTGAATCTTTGTTTACTTATTGAAGACTGTCGGTACCCTCATAGACATTGTTAAAGGTTAAGGAAAGAAAAACATATAATATGGTTGTTCCATGTTTAGTAGCTATATTTTAGACCTCTGTCTCATTTACATGTATCATACACAGGTACCAGTCCATTGAATTCCCACAATAATCCCACAAGGAAGGCTTGTATCCTCATTTTACACCGAGGAGACTGGAATCAGTCAAGGTCACACAGCTGAGGAAGAAGCGATGGAGATACTAAGAAAGAGGTCTGGTTCCTGCTGCATGTCTTTAAGCAACATTACCAGGCTTTTCTAGGAAGACCTGGTTTTTAAACCTCTTGCAGAATATTCTAACTGTTCTGTTAAAATGCAATTATTCCAGTCCACCAGTCAGAATCTGTGAAGTACAGGCATCAGCATTCACCGAGCCTTTATAGGAATATGCTCACAGTAAAGTATGACATTTCTCTATGCACATAAAAGAAAAACAAAGAAAGAGGCTGGGAGCAAAAGCACTTTAAGGACACAGAAAATCTAGAACAGGCAACTTGCTGGTAGCATGTAAGAAGCTTGCAGATTTGTCTGCAATCTTCGGGAAAGGAGAGACAGTATCTTTGTGGCAACCTTACAAAAAACCGATTTCAATGATTGTGCTATTTAAATTTTTTTCTTCCTGGTGAACACTGAAAACAACACTCATTAGCAAGGATGGAGGAGGGTGAAGAAATTATTTTATTTTGGATGGCACTTTTAAAAAGATATTTATATGTTTTGATGACACACTAACCAGTTGCTAATAAAACCTTGAAAGGATCTCTATGTATTTTTTTTCTACAAATCACAAAAACTAACCTGACAATTTTCAGCAAGGCGAAATATAGAAACTTCTATACATCTGAAATACTGAAAGTTTACATCTACCGTGCACATCTGAGCTATTCAAAAAGGTATGAGTTTTTGTTGGGGCTTGTGAGAGTCCAGTACGCCATAAAAGAGAAAAGAAAAGCCAAACAAAAACGCCCAACAACTCAATTCTTGAGTTCCTCTTAAAATAATTCGATAATAACACAGTCGGCCAATGAATGAAGAGGGCGAAAAGGCAGGCGGAGAGGCTAGACCCCTATCCCCATTGTTAGCAAACACATCTGTGAGCCACCGCTGTTACTGTAGCTAGTCTCAAATGAGCCAAGAGGCTCAGATTTTTGCGGTACACGAGACTTGTCAAAGCGTGAAAGAAAAATACCCGGGTTTGAAACACAAAGGAGACTCAGATTTCACCTTAAATCCCCACGAGGCATTTCAAGGCTGTCATTTCTCTGCGGTGCGGGGGACCGGTTTGAGGAGCCACTGGGAGCCACGTCGAGCATCCCTCCGTGCCACCCGCCCCCTACCCCCTGTCTTTCATTAAGAAAGGGCAGCTCGCCCACCTACGGCAGCTCGGGCTGCAGCTGCGCCCGCCCGTGCGCAGCGTGCAGCGCAGAGAAGCCCGCACCGCGTCCGCCCACCCGACCAACCGTGCCCGGGACCCTCCTCCGTCCCTCCCGGCCAGGTCCTCACCAGGCGCCGAGCAGATGTCCCTGGGCCGCTGCGTGACCGCCCGCGTCTAGCGCTGCGCTCCCGTGCGCCCACCCGGCACGGCCCCATCCAACGGCTCGCAGAATTCAAATTCGCCCACTTCCGCCTGCGACCCGGAAGGTAGGGCTGCTCCGCTCCGCCCCGCCCCGCCGCCGTGGAAGTGGGGAGGAGGAGGAGGAGGGTCTGCGTCTGCGCCGTGGCTTCTGGGGTGTTCTGACGAGGGGTGTGAGCTCGGACGGCTGCAGGCGAGTTCGTTCCGGAGACCTGCCCAGGGCTCCGGGCACCCCCAACAGGCTGGGACTGAAAATCAGCATACCCATGCTAATGAGAACGCGAGTGAATGCACGTGCTGGCTGCGCTCTCCCGTCAGGGATTCTTTTACATTACAGTTCCCTATTGTCCTGGGAGAATTCTTGCTTGACCCTGGGGGTGTCGGTTCCTTTTAGCGAGAGCCAGGATGATTTTTGTTGTTGTTGTTCCAAATGTCTGGAAATCCTATCTGAGAGGTTTGAGAAACTTCCACAAGGATTTCAGTCCTTTAGGCAGGTGACTAAACATTAGACCTGGGGTCAATAGTGAACAGCTAATATATCTGAGAGCACTGATTTAAACTTGATTTCCCCCAAACAGCTTTTCGTCAGCGTCTTTCAAGACACAAAAGATTTCCTGGATTTCTAGAATCCAGACTCCTGGGTTCTAGATACCTGGCACGAAGGTACAAAGTTATTTCTTAACCGGTGTAACGTTTTTAAACAGTGGGAAATGAGAAATAATCTGTCCACCAATAAAGATTAAATGATGTTTTAGAATTCGATATACTGATACTGAAGGTGTTCAAAGTTCAAAGACCAGCGATGTTGAAATGCTAAGAAGTCTACTTTAGAAGAATTGTTAAGACGTTTCTTTGGAAGTACGTGCATACGCATACAAAGTTTCGGGATGGAACCACAAACTGTACCAGTTATCTCTGGCAGTAAGCTTGGCAGATAGGGTGGGCAAAAGGGGGGGGCTTTAAAAACGTTATAACCGGCGGAATTCTTCAGATTAGGAGTGTTTGACAATGCCAATTTTGTTTTTCAAAGGAAGGTTGTTAGAAATTGAAGGCGTTCTGTAGACAGAAACAGGCGCGTACATAAATAATGTATGCAAGAATCGTAGTTGGTCGGCCTGTTTACATCCAGTCATCAGTGATTAAGGAGCTCGACACAGGGGGCAGCAGCTAAAAGCCCTGGCTGCTCTTCCACAGTTCTGGGTTCAATTCCGAGCACCCACGTGGTGTCTCACAACAGGGAAAAAAGAGCCCTAGGGGATCTAGCTTCTTCTGGCCTCCTCAGGCACTATATACACATGGTGTATATACTGGCAGACAAAACACCCAAACACGTAAAGTAAAATGGAAAAAAAAATATAGCTACAAATTTTACTATTCCTGTTTTACTGTTGAATGCTCCACATTAATATTACAAGCTCATTAAATATGTAGTTCTTGAATGCAGAAACTAATTACGCTTTCGCCTGTGTATTTTACAAACCTTTGCACCTTCTCTCCAGGAAGTTTTATCTCTCACAGG